GAAATATAAATATAAATAATAGTAGGAAGACTTTTTGGTGTGTCTCGCTTCAAACTCTTCTCTGCTTACCTAATTAACTAAAGAAAAATTTTAAACTGCCCAATATACACTGTTCTTGAAATTTGGAAAAAGAATTATAATATATTTTGGGGGAAAATGATATATATAGTTAAAGTTGCATGTTCTATAATTTAAATTGTAATTTAAAATATAAAACATGAGTCATTAAATAGGAGGTGGCCTCCTAAATCAAAAGATTCATTTTTATTTAATAATAAATATTAGACAATTCTACTTATATATTTTTTTAAATATAATTATACAAAAATTTAATCTACTCTTTTATATATCACTCATCATCATATTTTTCTTCTTTTGATGTAAGATTTTCGAGGCATTACATAGGAGGTGGCCTCCTCAATCAAAAGATTCATTTTTATTCAATAATAAATATTAGACAATTCTACTTATATATATTTTTAACATAATTATACAAAAATTTAATCTACTCTTTTATATATCACTCATCATCATATTTTTCTTCTTTTGATGTAAGATTTCAGCACGTTTGTACTTCTTCTTTTTCTTCTTCTTCTTCTTCTTGTTGCCAACTTAGAAGTAGTATATCCATTTATCTTTTAAAAAATGTATTTTTTATTTTATAAAAAATAGTAGACTTTTTAAATTTTATCTTTAAATTAAAAATTTTGAGATAATTTTTATCTTTATTTATTTTATCTTAAAAAATTAAAAATATTTTTATAAATAAATAATTAGAATGAAGAAATAATGGTAAGATTAAAATAAAAAATAATTTTTAAATATAAAAATAACTATTATTTTATAAAAATTCTAAATAAAAAATGTTGACTCAATATACTCCAAGAGGAGGGGTGAATTGGAGTTCTAAAAATTCTCTCCTTTTTGCAACCACAAAACCAAAAATAAAGAGAGTAGAGAAGAAAAGCTTGCTCAATGATTTTATAGAGGTTCGGTCCAATCACTTAAAACCTAATCCTCAACCTTGGCTTCACTCACCAAGGATTTCCTCCATACTCTTTATTAACAACAATAAGGGTGATTTAAAGGAGCTACTCAATCCTTTTACAAGAAGAAAGGTGTTTCTCTCAAATCTCACCCCTTTACACTTAAACCTCAAGAATCCTCTCTATAGATCACTCTTGAAAGATTAATCACACCCCCAAGATCACTGACAAATAGAACAAGAAGAGGATTACAAATAAATATCTCTCAAAGATCAAAAACTCAAGTTAAAGCTCATATAGGTATGTAAAGACATTCAATGCAATGTGCTCTAAACCTCCTTCAGATCTTCTACCAACTATATTTATAATCCCATGATCGAAAATAGCCGTTATTAGCCGTTGGGGGTCATTTAATGCTCTACAAGACGCAAAGCTCGAGTTGTAGGATTGTCAGGATAGCCGGCTTAACTTTCTGGAGCTGGCTTTGCACAGCCGGCTCACCATTTTTACAGTCGGCTTTGCGGGATTCTGCACATTCTGTTTTCTCAATAGAGTTGGTTGCAAAATGCAAAGCCAGCTTTGCAAGTTTGCTGCACATTTTATTTTCTTCCACAACCGACTGCAAAAAACGTGGAGTCGGCTTTGGTATTTCAACTTTAAAAAATATTAATTATTCTTTAAATAAGTCGACCATTGTGCATTAAATGCACCCTTACAGCTGGCTGCAAAGTTAGAGCCGGCTCTGCGTCTTTTTCCCGTGCGCGCCAAAGAACGAATCTTTAAATCTTTACCCATAAAGCCAGCTGCAGCTTTCAGAACTGGCTCTCTACACTTCCTTTTCACCAGAGCTGGCTGCAGCTTTCAAGAGTCGACTCTCTGAACATATTCAAGCTTTTTTTGTCCATTTTTAAGTGCAGTGTAAGTTTACTTATTTTGTAATCTTTTGACATTTTAACTACACACTTAAATGAACCAATTAATCACTCAAATGTGTTTTGTAATCATCAAAATCATAGGTACAACAAAAAAATTATTATTCTAGATAAAGGGAGTAATTTTGTAAAATAAATTTATTTCCGAATTTCATTCTTGATTTTCATTTTTTCT